ATATGAAACAAGTGTCTGGAGAACGAAAACAAACTAATGATAGAATGGAAATCTTAGAGAATAAATCAGGTATTAGAGATATAGAATTTGAAAGAGGAATGGATAATTTGGCTCTGTTGGAACAGAGAGAAAGATTTTTGTTGGAGATTTAGAGCCCTTCCAGAGGTTCCAGATGAAGATATTAGGAGAAAGGTGGTCCAGACATTGTCAGATTTTTTAGATTGGGAAGAGGATGAGACCGGAGAGATCAACAAAGTATATCAGATTAATTCATGTTTTGCTACAATAAGACGTGTCAAGAAATGTTTTAGTGCACTCTGTAAGGAGAAGGACAAGAGATCAAGTTCTGCAACAGCATTTTAATTCAAGATTGAAAAGTGATAATGCAGATGTAATTATTTTAAAGGAAAACCCTGATAGAATTTTACGTAAAAGAAAAGATTACTTTTTTCTGACTGAGGTATTAAAGCAGAAAAAGATTCCATTATGTTGGGAGAAGTTAGAGGGTGTAACTTTCACTTTTAAATAGAGAAGATTTCGATTGAATACTGTTCAAAGAGCTAGAGAATTTTTGGGAAAATTTAAAGGAAACTTGGAAGAGGTTCAAATAGAAATTGCAGAGTAAATTGACCAAAAACCACAACAGAAAGAAGAGCTTGAAAAAGATGGTGCCAAAGGTATAGACTTTTCTAAATTATTCACTTAACCATGGATTAGAAATGTCTAACATGGAATATAAATGGGGCAAATTCCCCTCAAAAAAAGGAAGATATTATTTCACCATCTGAAAAAATTAAAACAAGATATAATTTGTTTGCAAGAGACTCATATTAGAAATAAAGACATGAAGCATTTAACTTGTAAAAATTTGGGAGAAGAATTTATTTTTGCAGGACCAAAAAAAAAAAAAACAACTAAGGCAGTTTTATATGTTAACTCCCATTTAAACCACAATTAATATTGACTGATCAATATGGCAGATTTGTGGGGGTGGAAATTGAATTACAAGGACTTAAAACTTCTGTTTTGGGACTTTATGCTCCAAATGAAGATACTTTTACAAATGACTTAAGGAAGAATTGATAAAACTTTCATATGACAATTGGTGTTTGATGGGAGACTGGAATGGTGTGGTCTTTCCACAGTTAGAACATCTGAGAAGAAAATTAAAAATATTCAAGTTAAATTATCAAATACTTCTTTTGACTTGATCGATAACAACTTTAGTGGACATATGGAAACAAAAAAATGGCAATTCTAGAGAATATACTTATTTCTCAGAAAGGCATAGATCGTTTTCAAGAATAGATATGATATGGATTTCCAAAAACTTGGCTGCTAAGACGTCCAAAGTTGAGATTTTACCAAAAACTTTTTGTGATCACAATCTGGTGAGCTTGACTCTTAAAAGGAAATCTACTACCTTTAGATGGAGATTAAATGAAATGTTATTACAAAAAGAATGGATAGTGAAAGACTGTAAAAAGAAATTAACAGATTTTTTTGAGACCAATTTAAACAAAGGTACAGATTTAAGAACAGTTTGGGATACAAGCAAAGCTTTTATTAGAGGTTATTTTATTCAACATAATATTGAATTTTTAAAAAAGCACAAGAGAAAATGCAGACTATTTTGCAGAGAGAAAAGAAGAATTAAAGACATCACTGGCAAAGATAAGTATTTCATAGCAACAGCTATCCATGTTGACAGTAAGAGAAATGAAAACTAAAATGAACTATGCTAAACAAAAGAACTTTGAATTTGCAAATAAACCAGGGAAGTGGTTGGCTTAAAAATTAAGGAGAAAGAAAGAGGATAATTTTGAAGCTTCAAGAGGGAGATACAGTTTTAACAGATAATGTGGCTATACAAAAAGCTTTTCATTAGTATTCTAATTTGTATAAAGGACAAGATATTTCTCTGGAAAAAATAGATGACTATTTAAAAGTGCAAAATTTACCACGGCTTACAGATATACTGTACAAAGACAGACTATGAATGGGCCTGTAACAATAATGGAAGTTGGATGCTATAAAAAAGATTAAACCAGGAAAAGCACCTGGACTGGATGGACTACCAGAGTCATCTTATAAATATTTTGAGGATGAAATTTTACAACCTCTTCAGAATACAGTGAATTTTATTTTACAAGGATATGGGATGTCACAGTTTTGGAAAGAAGGTAATATTGCTCTAATTAGGGACAAGATTTAACCTTAACCAAAAATTATAGACCAATATCATTACTGAATAATGACTATAAGTTATTTACAACCATGTTGGCAAATAGACTGAAACTAATTTTACAAGACTTTATTCATGAAGACCTAGATTTTTACCTAAAGGACAACTAAAAGATAATGTTAAAACAGTATTGGACATTATAGAATATTTGGAACAGCATAATGAAAAACAAGCCGCATTGATCTTTTTGGAAGCAGAGAAAGCTTTTGACAACCTTAATTGGACTTTTTGTTTAAAGTTTTAGAAGATACGGATTTTGACGATAACTTTATAAAATGGGTTAAATCGATAGTTACGCTACAGAAAGTACAAATTATTGTTAATGGAGATTTAAAACCATGTGAGATTCAAAAAGAAACAAGACAAGGATATCCATTATCTCCACTTTTATTTATATTGGTTTTGGAAGTTTTGAACAGTGACATAAGACAAGGTGAGGGGATAATGGATGTAAAAATTTAAAGAGACATATAAATGAGACATATAAATTGAGAGCCTTTGCATATGATATGGTGCTGGTGTTGAAAGAGCCATTGAAAGGGATAGAACTATTAATGAGAAAATCAAGAGAGTTTGGTGCACTACCTGGTTTTAAGATTAATAAAAGTAAAAAATGTTTACAGAAATATGAAGATAGAAGATCAAATAAAACTGATGAACAAAACAGGTTTCAAGATTGAGAAAAAAGTAAAATCCTTGGATGTTAATTTGATGAATATGAATTGTATGTTGTTTCAGAATGATTATGTTAAGACATGGTTTTAAAAAGGTTAAAAAAGACATGTTAAGATGGGAGAAACTATAACTCTCATTGTTGGGAAAAAAAATTGTGATAAAAATGAATGTTTTGCCTAGAATGTTATTTTTGTTCCAGACAATACCAATTGTGACTGCTGATTTACCATTTAAACAATGGCAGAAGGGTATATCTAAATTTGTGTGGCAAGGCAAAAAACCGTGAGTTAAATACAAAGTGTTGCTAGGGGTGGTTTTTACAGATACAGGGTCTTGGGCTAACCACTTCAAAGAAAGTTCTATAAAGGCAACAGCAAGCTCCAAAAAGCTGAGTTACTTAGTTACAGCCGCCCAAGTTCTCTGCCCCCCATTCTAAAGGTCCACAAAGCAAAAATTGTACCAATGCTAACCCATGGTGCCGATTTGTGGGACCTATCAAAGGCCTCCTTACTGGGACAAAATCTAGCACGCTTTTTAAGAACTATTTTAGGGACCCATAGGAATACACCAGCAGCAGTAAGAGCTGAAACAGGCACCCATTCAATTTATAGTCTAACAGTAGTCAAAGTCTTTAATTACTGCTGGAGGATCCTCTCAATGGAACCTGACAGACTACCAAAAATGTGCCTTGAAGAACAGATGGCCACACTTCAACCCACCACATGGATCAACCAACTCCTCCAAACCATCTCACAACTCAGCTTCTCAACACAGTACCTATTCTTAGTCGGACATCAGGCCAAGGCAATATTCAAACAAAGAGTTCTGGATGTTAATGCCCAAACAGATATTGAATCACTTGCAAATATCAGGTCATTGAAATGGCTGGCCAAAAATAAAATGTCCTTCCAAACAGAAAAATACTTGACAATGGGTTTGATTCAATATCATAGGATTGCTCTTACCAGAGCAAGACTCAAGCAGTTAGATTCTATGGTCAAATACAGACAATTCCACCAAGTGCCATATTCTGAGAGAATATGTATTTGTGGAGCATCAGAAATAGAAGACATTGCACATGTCCTGTTCAACTGTCAGTTATATGTCTCAATAAGGGCTCGGTACTTACAGACACCACTTGACAGAACCATATACTGTATTGGGACTCTAACAGTAGATTATCCTTCAGGGCACAAACAAATAGGTAGCCACTAGAACTGTCAAATTTATAATCAGGGCTGTCCAACAGAGAACACATTGGGGTTGCATGTAAAAGTGATGAATTCATCTAAACACATACTATTTTCAAATTTTAATATTCATTTTATTATCTATCTATGCACTCTATTTTATCTTATTTTACCCTACTTTTATCGTTACTCTACCTTACCTTACTAGATTTATCTATTTTATCTCACTGTAGTCTATTTTATCCTATTTTACTCTACCTCACTTTATTCTGTTTTCTTGTATTTCTGATGCCCATGCTTTGATATGGTCAAATGACTAATCAATAAGGTATATTCTACTCTACTCTATAAGGTATTGCAAGATGCCAAAGAAAGAGGAGGTTTAGCTTTACCTAATTTGAAATTGTACTTTGCAGCTTGCTGTTTAGTTTGGATGAAAGAATGTGTGATGCGGTTATTTGCGGGTAAATCATGCCCTTCCAAGGTTATTGGACTTGGAAGGGCATGACTTGAGATTTGGGTGCCAAGGTTGTTTATGGTATGACAAGGTTAAGGTTAATGTAGATTTCAAGAATCATTTTATTAGATGTGCCATTTTGAGAATTTGGAATAGATATAAATCTAGATTGTGTCCAAAAATACCTTTATAGCTATCGCCACAAGAAGCATATTATAAAAGAGAAATGATAATTAAGCAGAAATGGCTAACTTATGGTGACATTTTAGATTTTTGCCAGGGAGAATTTAAAATAAAATCAAGAGAAGACTTGATATCAGAAGGATATATACAGGGGGGCAAAAAAGTATTTAGTCAGCCACCAATTGTGCAAGTTCTCCCACTTAAAAAAATGAGAGAGGCCTGTAATTTTCATCCTAGGTATACCTCAACTATGGGAGACAAAATGGGGAAAAAATC